TCGGAAGTAAACGCTATGGCGGCAGTAGCATTACGCGCGTGGATCAAACGGTCGGATAGATGAATGATGATAATAAAAATGCAGCGGCGGTGGCGGGCGTTGTGCCATATTACGTATGCCACGGTCTATACGTCATATATACTTACTCTGCAGTTGGGTTAAGAGAAGATTGTGGCGACCGGAAGTGTAAAATACAGCTCGGAGTGTCAGCTGCAGAGGTCTGTCTATCTCACCGGATGTCTCTGTTGGACTCGGTACGTCATAATATACGTATATGAAAATACAATAATCATACAGATTCAGAGAACTGATGATACGCGTGTGGCGTGCCGAGTGTATCTATTTCAGTGCATTGGTTCTGGTGCCGTAAGCTGCAGCGGTGAGTAATTATTATACACCATTGTTGCAGACGGGCGGACACGTCTATTCGGTTAAAAGCGTTATATCGGCGAACAGTCATGTAGGTATCTATATCGGGACGGACGTTTCCAGTCTGCGGATATCGTGCGTACCTATATATATTTACATGTGTGCCGGGTGTAAAGTACCCATATATACGACGAAACGAGATAAATTGAAAGATCCCCGGTTCGGCCGCACTTTAATGTGGATGATAGAGGTGTGGTGTTGCATCGTAAGCTCCTGATGGCCGGGTGTGTGGGGGCGCATGCCTCGAAGAGCGGGTGTGCGCGTGGAGAGTGGGTCGTGAKGCTATATAGTTATTTGTCCGCAGAGCGTCTGCAGTGCGACGGAGATTTGACATTACTCTCTTGGCGTGTGCCACGCCGCATTACGCGTCACAAAAAAAAAAAAAAAATAAAAAAATAAAAAATGAAAAATACATCAGTTCACTGGGATGGGATGTGAACCGCCACCGTCGACGGCCAAGGGAATAATATAAATTGTCCGCTAAAATAGCGTGGTATAAAATATCGACGCCGGTACATTATCGATAATTAATGTCCGACGATTTATTCAAGTATAAAATATATCGGTATGTGTGCTTATCAATAGCGGATCCAGAAGGGGGGGAGGAAGAGAGCATTAGCCCGTCCATCCCAAACACCGTAGTCACGTAGTATAATATGTTGTGTCTTCCGTATGGTTTAAGTGTCGTATAATGGTTGTAAACAAGAGTTTAGAGAAGTTATTAAACGTTAACATCATTATTAAATATCAGTACATACTGTAGTAATTTATACTAGTGGCTTGGCGAGGCGTGGTCGTACGCTCAATCTGCGGAAACGCACTGAGCGTACGTACCGGCCGCAGTTGATAGTTCCCGGATGGGTGACCACCCGGGAATTTTTAGCAACATATCCTTGCCACACATACACAAACACGTGTTACAACCCTACCCACTTAAGAACCTACAAACAAACATACAAAAATAACCCCTACCGTACCAATTTATACTAATAATTGAATACTGGTGTTATAAATTATATTGCTTTTGTACCCCTCTCAAAATTGAGCCATGCATTTTTATTATATATTGTATTTTAGACTTAATAAGTCTACTTGGCATCAACATAAAAAATCAAATCCGAACTTCGTATTATTATAAATACTATATAATATGTTATAATGTGTGGTATTTTTATATTTAGTTATTATAAGAATAACACATTCATTTGACACTTCATATGAAATATATTTATTCRAAAAATTCCTAGGTGTACAAATATATTGAGATTATAGTCCAATTTACGATTTACCCATTTCAACGTCAATAAATTTAAATTACTGTTATTTCGTTGTTTTTCAAAATCATTCCAAGTATTTATAGACTACTTTATCATTTCAATTTAATGTACCGCAGTAACGTAGTTATAACCTTTGAGAAAAGATAATTTCAATTATGAAATTTYCCAGTGACGTACAAAATATACTGTTTATTTATAGCGATGGTAAAAAAATGTTCGTTTACTGATATTAACGACTGATTTTACACAATTTGACGTAAAAAAAATAATGTGTCAAATCATCGGTAGAGACGCGTGAACTATTATTGAAGGCAGAAGGGAAAAAATACATGAGCTCAAAAGTGAATATTTTATGCTCAGTTAAGCGTCAGAAAGTCTTCTTAAGCTATTGACATTAACTTGTGCCACACTCTATAAACAACAAACTTATTTAAGCGTAGTTACAAATTTAACATTTTATTTTTTTCTTTCTGTTAACTCCTTATTACTATGAAAAACACTACTATTTTTTCAATACATAAACTATTGCACGACGCACACGCTCAAGTACACGCACACGCACACACACTCATATATATATTATATTTATATTATATATATGTTATAAACTATATTATTTAGGTGCCTACTTTTGTAAATTTACCATCTTATACTTGAGCAAACCGAAAAAAGCTATAAATTTAACTGATAATATTATTAAAATATTAAATTGTTCGAATGCATGAAATAATCTTTTTGTTTTTATTATTTAATGCAAAAACGTCAATTTTTTTTTGAAACAGTGTTTGCCATCTGGATATGATGAATATKATCTCCGCTTATTTGTTGTAGGTAGGAACAAATATTTGAATATAATAGTACGTTTGCATGCAGAAAAAGGAAAAATATAAATGGTAGCAGTTCCAAATTGGTTTATTATGAAATTGGTCTCTAGAGTGTGTAATATTTAAAAACTTTAACTTTCTATAACCTAAAACCTCTGTACAAACAAATATATTATTTTAAATATGACCAGGAAAGGGACTATTAAAATTATCCGTGCTCGAAACTTTCCATACAAATATAAACCTGGGATTGTTGTGCGTTCTATATAATAATATGTACACATAAATATAATGGCATACACTTTGTATAACACAAATGTTTCTAACTGCTGTGAAAAAAATAATAAACGGCAAAAATGTTTTGAAAATGCATAGTAAAAGAAAAAAAACCAACTTTACAGTGTAAAATTAACAAAATGTGTGTGTCTCTTATAGTTTCTGGGTAAAGGCARTCGAAAAATAATGTTCTTTACAGCGGTAACTATTTTTTTTATTACTCTAATGAAAAATTAAAAAAAATGCTTTTTAGATGTCAACTATCTCGCTAATGCTTAGCGCTTATTGTAACCGTATCTTGAAATTATTTAATTTTTCTATCAGTGCTAGCTTCCCCGTCGATTTATATGGTGAACTAGATTCGAATTTGGTACGTGTGGTATATATAATTATGGTATACGYTATATCCGCGGTGAGTTTTCACGAATTATGATAACGTATACAAACGTTGTATATACGTTTAAGCGAGCAAATCGATCATTTTATTTATGTAGTACGTTTYCGCTGCTTCCGAAATTTTTCGTTTTTTTTCAACCAATGTTCGTATGGACCAGCGATGAAATCCAGAAACTAAATGATGGTTTTTTCGAAAGCCGATGTCGAAATCGTATGAAAAAAAGTCACTTCGGTCCAAAATCCAATTAATTTGCAGAAAGTACCTTATTTCTACGCCACACCTGAAATCGCACCATTTTGTGTCCTTTATGTTATTGTCATCATCTGTGTRTTGAAATTGAACTTTTTCAGTGGACACTTCCCGAGGTCAGACCGCCATCGATTTTACATAATAGCTGTCACGGACGACGATCATATCCGAGATTAACATATATTATATTATATTGGTTATATCATCGACACTCGAAAATAACCCACTTATTAGGTACATTTTCCGGTGAGATTTAGCTTCGTGAATAAAATAGTGTACCGCGGTCGAGTAGTCACAATTTACCCGCGTCAGCCGTGTGGTCTTAAGAGTACTYAATGCCCTATCAGTGATGGCGTATACGTGACGCTTTCCTTATCACCCTCCCCCCACCAACACTATAGACACGCCATCACCGAAGACTGGGGGAGGGGGGGAACGCATATCGATTTTTAAAAACCACCCTATCTATAATATATATGCTAATATACAGGTGTAGCCAGTAATATTTTAATGATATTGTCTTGGCACACCACTGTCACCGCCATCTTATCTCAARTAAAAGAAACAAATTATTTGGCACGTTCTATTATGTACAAGGATCGCTACTTCGACGTCGTATAATAAAATCATTCGATTAAATCGGACGATAAATGTCAAACGATTACGATAACGCGTTATGCGCATAGACWTTCGGAAAAAAATCTTATTCCGCGGAGAAATCGCTGCGCGTAGATAGGTTACACGCTATAATAACACTAGACTGCATGTCTACGATATTATTATAATAAAATTAATTAATATCGTAATAAAATTTACAATATATGCCACCGCGYTAAATGTCATGTACGACCCATAAATATTTGTCAAATACACATAATATAGTGTTATACTGCGTGCATTTGGGCTTGATATTAAACCGTATAGTGCTTAACATTTAAAAGTCGGCGGGTCGTATGATGTGTATATAAAACATGATATAATATTTAGTTATATAACATTGTAGCCATAATGATATTAGACGGRCYATAAAATATACACGCGTACAGCCGGTTAGAGCAAACTCTGGACGTCTTGCAAACTTCGCGAATTCCAAAATGGTATGGCATGTAATAATAAATTGGTACGCACATAATATAGGTGGGAACGTTTGTTCAAACTCACCCTGACCCATAAAAACAATCCACAGCTCAATATATATATATATATATAAAGTGTCTCTAAAATAAATTACACGGATTTTAATGATACCTCTCGAGGTCGTCGGATCGTTATGATGATAATTATTATTATTTCTGGCACCGCTTGCCGCGTTTGAATATGATAATGTTATGCAGTGTGTGCGTGTTAAGTTGAAAATTCAGTGCTGCAGATGCATCCATGCACGTGCCTGATTGGCTGAACACGCGGACACGATGTATCACACTGCAGCGATAACGAAACCGCTCGAACGGAAAAAAAGAAAGAAAAAACCGCCGTTTCCTTAGCAACGTGCMGTATACGCGCTCAAGTCAAGTAAAAGAACATTATACACCGACTTTGGTTTTCGTACAACAGTTCAACTCGACCTACGGACCTCATCATAGCATCTAAAACAAACACCACGAACTGTGGGAGAATAATATATCACCATCGCGCGATTTGGCAGTSGGCTGTAATTTCCGGGATCAATAGTTTTCCAATTAAAACCCAGATTAAAAACTACACACAATTCTGTCATGAGGTGAGCATAATGCACCTATTATAATTTATTATATTATATTTTAGCATAATAGCTTTCTGTTTGCTTTGCATATTTTTTACCAACTGTTCCAGTTATTATAGYATTATTATGGCATTTCATGACAAATCTTTGAATTAATGGTTATTATTTTTTTTTTTTTTATCACGATAACCCGAATACTTATTTATAAGCATCGCAGTTTTAACACCTCATCGCCCCTCATGTTCACGACATGATTATTTGACGGTAAGCCGATTAGGTAATAAGTTAAGGACACATTATTTATTACCCCGCGTAGATACACGCGTAAACATGTCACCGCAAAATATTAYGTTACGGCGGAGTTAAGCGAATAATGTCGGTCRTGCGGGGTACAATAATAAAAATGTAGCCAGTCTGACGTGTAGGTCGCGCGTATTAAAAGATTAAACATTAAATTTTCTCACTAGGGCTAATAGAAAATCTTTAAGTATGTCAGCTAGGTATTAGTTGGATGTCATTTATTAATTCTAATACCTAATTGGATAACGTGGTTTTTACTGATCGTATATTATAATAGATTATTAACTTTKTTAAAAATGATCATATAGCTAGGTAGTTTAAACTTTGCTTCACTACCATACCCAAAGCATCTAACCAAACATTTTAATCTTAATAAATTCTCTAAGMATTTCATATATACTCGTTTAATGGTKGGTAAATACCTAATAATAATATTAYAACTTATAATATGTTTAAATATAATATTATATACTTTTATTTTGATGAATTATTATAAGCTGATTGGAGTTATTTTCAGAATGCTATTTATGTCAAATTTAAAATCAAATGTTTATTAAAAGCCATACCAGCAACTAATGCCAAACAGATAGGTATACAGTGATATCGTATAGTATAATTAGTTGCATAGCGTATAATAGTATTAAGTTCCTAAACATTGCACACAGTATAACGTATAATTATTTTCAATTTACAAGAGTATTTCAAATAATTTTTAAAAAAAATATGATGTTGTAAAAAAAATTTACATACAAATAAACTAAAATCATTTCGTTTTGAAACATAATCTTTTAGATATTAGATTTAATAAAGTAAATGAAATGTAAAATGTGTGTCGTACATCGTAATGGCGTACATACCAAAGACGCGTACATTAAAACGTATTACAATGACATAATTGAGTTWRAAAGAACAAAACGTTAGAAACTGCAATCTGAACTATACATTATTATAGAAAATAAAATGCATTAGTGTTGCCGGCGTTACTTTCGAAAATAAACGACCCGAAGTTTTTCTTTTTTTCYTCTTCTTATTATTGGATTTCAAACTTTATAATCGGATTGAGAAATAAAATAATGGATTATCAACAATAACGGAAATTACATTTTTGAATATTTAACGATAAWAAACAAAGGTAAAAAAACTCAACAATAAGGCCAACTGAAAAACTGCAAAAGTATTAAAAATATACACCCTTAAATAAAACATAATATTATTGTTTATACGATTGGCTTACATTACAAGACCTGCAGCGTGAACAGTTGCCGTATATTATAGGCTTCAGTTTTAGCAGAACAATATCGTTATAATCGCCCTCGAACGTTCTGTAACCGTAAATAATATTGCACATTATTGTTTTCCAAGCTACGCCGAATTACTACCTAATAATTTAATACAATATATGTAAGGCACGTACATAATAATTATATTTATATATATATATATATTATACATAATAGGTGTAGGTATTCTACTATATACACCATTTTAAGTTTTAATATTAAAATGTTACAAGTACCCATACATAATTTGCGATATACTTACTTACGTAGTTTATATATTACACTTTATCATGCACGTAAAAAGCACGTGTTATATGACGTACACTGTGCTGTGATGACGCATGATAATACGGAGGCATAAATGTAGCAGTTGCGATCGACTAAGGAATATAATATATACCGTGGTAGCTCTTGGTATATACCCTGTCAAAGGACARGCTCGACGAGGGTGAATAGGTTCCGCAGCGTAGAAATTAATTACGTGTTACGAGTGCGTTTTATTGGACCGACTCGGGTCACATGCATCACCCACACACCCACACCACACATATTAGCACGCAAGCGAGATAAAACACGGTCGGCCGTCGCGTATCCATTTACAAGATGCGCACCTTTTACCTGTGGCCTCACTCGCCAACCCCCCCCTCCCCATCACAGCAGTCCGGGACGGCCACAAAACCACCCCTCTATTTTAACCCCACGGTCGCTCCACGCACCACCTCCATACATYAGAGTTCAGTCCGGACTTTCGGTATATCGTTTTGTATAATAATCTCGGAAACGCGAAAAGAGTTTAAACGGGTAGGTATATTTGAATATAATATATATATTATGCGGTTTTTTGTGTGTGTGTGTTTTTTTTATACTCGGATCGGCRGCATGAAAAGTTTTGTGGCGCTGACGCCCTCACCGCAGCTGCRGCTCTCATCCCTTCGAGGTTGCAAAATGAAAACTTAAAGTCATATCACTCACGCAAACTCGTTAAACGTGGTCTCCGCGCCACCAAATACTGTGTAACCAAAGGTACCTGCAAATTCGCATATTACCCACGTCCAACCTAACAATATAAAACATGATATGTCTTATTATAATATATTCGGGACGATAAAAATAATAATAATGATAATAATAATTTGTCTCGAAAAAAAACTGGAACGTAATATATAGGTATAAATTTAATAAATTATATGCTCTAGACACACRTGCGCGGTGGGTGTGGGATTTTTCGACTTCGCGTTGGCACGTTTTGCCGATAAACAATATTTTCGTCGTCTTCGAAGAGACGTTTTTGGAATTTTTTAATATAACCATTACAGCGACCGCCCGCAGGTTTTCTCCGTCTCTGCGTGTATTTTTTTTTTTATTCTCATTCTCTTCTTTCATTAATTCCGGCGAATATTGGTTTTTTCTAGCTTTGCGCTTTGTAAACTATTTTTATGTAGGCGCGTTCTGTATAAAATATTGATAAATAGATGTGCGACCCGATTCGCAGAACTGCTGCCATTGTATTTGTGTTCAGAACTAATCTATATTATGTGTGTTATGTGTGTTCGGGCGAGTGGCCACGAAAGTTTTTGTGAAAAAAACACGATAAAATATTACGCTTCTGTGCAGCGCTTGTTGTATATACGAAAATAAGTTTTTCTGTATTTTTTTTTCCTACACATTCGAAAAGTAATGTTGTTTATAAGCTTGTACACTTGTATTTTGTGAAAAGTAATAATTTAAATAAATCCTCATCCGGATGAGGAGTGTGATTTCTCACCACCCTTCTTGACCCCCTCTCCACGGGTCCACCCGATACTTTCGATGCTTGCCGGATCAAATATTTATTATACCGGCAGGTATTACATTTGGCGAGTAGCTTTTGATTGTAATATACCTATAAAGATGTACACGGAACACCCATTTGAAATATAAAAAAAAAGTTATTCGCATCCCTATACAYATTATATCGATACCCCGGGGAGGATTTATCGTGATAAATTCTATGTGTGTTTACTATTATAGAATAGTAACAACTTTTATCAAGGCACCATTACACGTTTTTTTTTTTTATTACTATGTATTTTCTTTTTTCCTCAACCGTTACACAAAGGCCGCCGACTATATTATATTTCTTGAACTTTTGGGTCGGTTAACATATTACAAATAAATGTGTACATATAATAATATGTATATCCGTCTATATACAATAGGTGTACCGATATTAATTATGTATATAATATGTTTAGTGWGGGCATGCGTATGAATCATTCTGAAACTAATAGATTGATTTTACCGATTTATCATAATTCATAGTAAATTATTAAACAAATAAAAAACAAAGATAATTGTAATTTACTATTTTGACGAATATTCCTCACAACCCTCGTGCACATTGATATCGTATTATACACTTATATTATAAAATTACGGTTTGATGTTTGTTTTATGGTATTTATATTTTGTTTTCATTTCTGCGGTTTAATTTAATCGAGACACCCAGGTATATCGTATATATATATATAATATATATAAATATGTAGATAATAAAATAAATAACTGTTACTGCGATTGTATTCTTTTGTGTTTATTAAATGGAATATAGTTTACGTATATAAATAATAAACGCTGCTCTAAAATATAGTTTAGCGTGGTACCTAACATAATATTATGTTTTTTTTTCAATTACGGTGAACAAATAGTTAGTTATACTATTATTATTGTCATTATTATTATTATTACAACACGATGAGCGACGAACGAATATCATAATATTCAAGTGCGCGGGCACATGCGATATGACAATWATATTAGATATTGAATACATTTGAGGTCGCACTTTTAAAATAATTGTATTCATATCGTATCTTGGTGTGTGCATCGAATTGCCGCTCAGGATTTTGCACGAAATCGCTTATAAAATATGTACCTATTAACGCTTCGTCGTGTGTATATTAATAGCGGGCCTTATTACGAAGATTAATATTTTCGTAGAGATCAATAACTCCGCACATAAAACGTCATCGTATCCGTACAGTTGAGAACGGTATGCTATACCTACATAGGTATGTCCATTATTTTGTTTTTCTAACTTTATAGATGTAAAATTTTAATATAAATTTTTTTTTAATTTTAAGAATAAAAGTTTTACAATCTACTCATTATTCGTTAACTCAATTAACATTAACTGTATTTTTCAACATACCTACTTCACTATAATTATCGATAATTGTAATAATATATCAATGGGTGTATATTATTATAACATATTTTTCGCAGTTCATTACATTTAGTTAATATGGCTAAAGATTATTATTTGGTATAATAATTGATATCGATGGTTTTAAAAATTAGGCAGTTTAGGATGATGTGTTTGGTTGTAAGGGCTTTTCGCATTATTTGATATTGTACCATATTGTTGAACATATGAGTATTGGGTAAATAATAGRTATT